AATTTTTGTTACAGTAACGTCAAACAAGGATGTTGTAGTATTTTATGAGGAAAATTTGGTACTTAAAGAAGTTGGAGCCTACTAACCCCCCCCTCCCCCCCCCCCCTACGAAATAGGATTTTCGAGTTTGAGTAATTTTCCTTTTTTTTTTTTTTGCCTGTCAAGTTTTTCAGGAAAGTGGATTTTTTTTTTCTCTTGCTGGCCCCCACTTTCAAAAACGATGCTACGTCACTAAAATAAAAACAATTTAATTTTCACTTCGCTAGCCTTGTTCCTTCATCCTGTTTGTTTGGCCTCAGCTATTGCAGCGTCCTTTGAGAAGACATTTATAAATTCTATATTTACATGTACATTTATATATCTCCAAGAAAAAGAGATCTGCCCCCCCCCCTCCCCCAATTTTTAGATCCGTTGGTACGGATTTTGATTATTGTAGAATTAATTGTACCTTGAAGTTGAGATTGAAGTCTATGGGCAGCGCATGTGTCATTAAGATATTGTAAAAAGTAATTTGAATTTCAAACAAATCTCTTGGTAAATATATGTATAAACTCTCATTTTATTATAATATAAAAATAAAATTAATCATTCACCATTATGGTGGCATGTTTCTGACCCCTATATGCAACTTAAATTATGTTAACATGCAACATAATTATGTAGATATGCGACATATTTCTGTCAACATGAAAAATAATTCTGTTGACATGCAAGTTACCAATCTCCTTAGAGAATATAATTTAAATATGGGTAAATTTACTTGCTAACGCCAGTATCTGACATCATACATGCAAGATGCAACATGATTATGTAGACATGCGAATTATTTGTGTTAACATACTAGATAATTATGTAAACATGCAACTTATTTATGTCAACATGCAAGATAATTATGTTGACATGCAGCTTATTTATGTCAACATGCAAAATAATTATATTAACATGAAACTTATTCATGTTAACATGCAAGATAATTATGTTAACATGCGAGTTAATTATGGCAAAATGCGAGATATGTATGTTAACCTGCGAGATATGTATGTTAACATGCAACATATTATCTTGCATGTTGACAAAAATACCTTGCATGTTAAAATATGACTCGCATGTGGACATAAATAAGTCGCATGTTGACAAAATTAAGTTGCATGTTGACATAAATAAGTCGCATGTTAACATAAATAAGTTGCATGCATGTTAACATAATTATCTTGCATGTTAACATGAATAAATCGCATGTGTACATAGTTATGTTGCATGTTAACATGAATAAGTCGCATGTTGACATAAATATCTGCATGCTAACATTATTATCTTGCATGTTAACATAAGTAAGTCGCATGTTGACATAATTCTGTTGCAGCTTTATTGTCTGATGTGGTATACTTGCATTATTAAGCAATTTTACCAACATTAAAATTAGATTCTCAAAAAACATTTGTAACTTGCATTTTAATATAATTATTTTGCATGTTGGTATAATTATCTTGCATGTTCACATACGTTTCTTGCATGTTAACATAATTTATCTTGCATGTAGGGGGCAGAAATATGCCATCATAGTTTACATTTTTTTCTTGATTTCCTTTTACAATTTTACTTATAAAGCCATCGGAAGCAAATTGAAAGGGGGGCTAATTAAAAGTGTGTGTGTGGGGGGGGGGGGGAGGGGGGTTAAACCAACAACAAAAAAGGTCAGCCCCAATTTTCAATGCCTATATTATGCCTATCTTTGCAAAAAAAAGTGGGAGGGGGACTAAGCCCCCCCCCCCGCGGTTCCTACGCCTATGTAAAGGCAAAACAATACGTTCAGAACTTGCTTTTAATTGGGTGAAAGAACTGTTTTATATATATCTTCTCACACAATATAGAATATTATACTTTCATGTAAATTAGTTGAATCTGATTCGTCTAGAAACAATACTTAAAAAACACTATTACCCGCTGAATAATGAAGCCACGCCGACATTGCAACAGTCGACATTGCTTGACGACGGGTGATATTTCAAAAAATATTGACTCCGCAGAATATATGCGCGCAAGGTTCACTGTAATTTGTATTTGTATATAAAAAAAATCAGTATAATATGATATATACTGCATGTAGTTGACATGCGGCTTCCCCTTGGTTGACAATGGTTTTCTTGGAGTGAAAATTTTCAATGTTACACTCAACTACATGTAGTATTAATTTATATAATACTATTTCATAGTCTATTTATAGTCCTTGTGTAATCTATAAAAACACAAAAGGTTCATAACACTATATATTCACTAGATTTTAAAGGGGGAGGAAATAAGCACCTCCTTCAAATTTACCTGGTCTTTGAACCCCTGTCAATCATCTGAAATTAAGCCTGGGATTGGATACTTGGATTTGATTGACATTTAGTTTTCTGCCGTTGTGTATATCTTGTGTACCTTGTCTGGAGCTTGTACCGACCATCGAATTTACATTCAGGCTTTTGATGCCTACCGCAAAATGCCAAGAAGCAATCAAGGCATTTTTTTTAAGTCATAAGAATATGCTATAAATATAATCATTTTTTTCAAACAATTAAATAAATGATAAGAAAAATCATGCTTATATACTAAAATTGTAATTTAAAAAGGGTGATTTCATTTCACGATTACAATCGATAATTATAATTTGTCAAAACATAATTTAACTAACGTACATTTGTTCTACCTTAACAAAATATACCGACCCGCGTTTGAAATATCATGGAATTAAATAAAATTATTTTTTTTAAAACAAGTATGACAACATTCATTACATTGTAATATTGCTAAAGTGAAACTTTATAATTAAGACAAATACGTGTCGCTTTTCTTCAAGTTACAGTATAATATTAACCAGATTTAGAAGAGAAATTATTGGGATTATAACATCTTGCTTTGCATGTAATATTTGAAATTATGAATCCCGAAGGAAAAAAGTATAATGCAGGTGATTCAATCCCCGTTTCACTTATAGCTGTCGGGGGAATCACCCTCGGTCCAAAGCCCTGGCCATTTTTACAGACAATGCGTCATGGAAAAATCACATAGGAATTATCTTATATAAGTATTTATTTCTACACAATTTAGCCTCTCAACAGCGTTTCTGAGTTTTATTATTACGGAGAGACTTATTTTTGACCCACTTCTTCTTTTGTATTGCGTACATGACGTGCAATTTGAATTACTTCCCTTTGTGTCGCCAGCTTACAACGACAAATGCTGGTCCTATAATATTCGTTATAACATGTGAAATTAATTAACAAACATACAGTATAATTGAAATTGACAAATCATTACAAAAGATTAATTTTAAAAGAAAGAATTTGAGTAGGATTCTGTCCGCAACAAAAACATTTCGCATGCTTTATTTCAGAATGTTATGGTCAACATTTCAATTGACCTACACAAGAAAAACAATTAATTCGTTTTACTATGTCGTAGGAAAACGTATACAGGTAATACATTCAGGTAACATCCTGTGTATAAAGGAAGGTATACACAAGCCAGCGTCGTTCTCTCGGGGCTTCTCATCCGCTTCGACTAAGCTCCACCCCACACCAAACTTACCTGAGGAAAACCGACCGGTTGAAAACCTCGGCCTTTAAGCGTATTCACTGGAAGGTCAGCGCTCGTGCAGCGGCGATTCTGTCGTCACAAACGACACCTCAAAAACGTTGTAAACAACAGTTACATTGTACAACGACCGGAACCTCCTGTATATGTATATCTGACCAGGAAAAATGTAAGGCAAGCCTATTGCTGTACTTTTTTCCCAAACATGTCGATGTCTCACAAACAAGGAGAGGAAAACACGGACGTTATAACTTCCAATCTTTCTTAGACAGAAGTTCGATAATGAAAATGATTTGTCAAGCAGCCATGTTCACCTGCACGTAATCTTCCATGTTAACACAAGGATTTATTTTTTCTATATTAAGCTAAAAGTAGATCGGAAAATCCAAATTGGAACAAATAATTCTGGAAAAATTATATTATATTATTTGCAGCCGACTTCCAGTCAGGTGAACATAATATTCAGAGACAAAGAATCGAGGGTAAGGGGAGCTGTATGGGGGACTGCCCCTTCCCCACACTTTTATTAAACGCAAAGTATTACTTTTAATTTGGTATGAAAATGTTAATTTAGTATAAAAATGTTTATTGTAAGGATGGTTGTCACCCCCACCCCTCCCCACCATCCACAAACCCCGTCAGTGGTAATGGACCCTAAAATCCCCTCCCCAAAAATGTTAAGTTTGGAGAGATCACTCGTTTTGGAGTTTGTGGGGGGGGGAGGGGGGGCTTGATACTTTTTTTTCATGTAGGTTGCCAATCTCTTCCTTACAATCCCCTTTTAAAATCGATCGTTTTGTCTGACATTTTGTTATTTTTCTATATGGCGACTATTTTTTTTTTTTTAGAAACTCCAAATTTATTTAACTGGTTATGTTTAATTTAACTTCGCTTCTCTCATTGTGTTTGGCTAGGACTTCAGCAAATGCAAAGAACTAAGATGTCATGGATTGCTTAACGAGTTAGTATCATTTAATCATTAAATATTCACCAGAAAAATATAAATATTGACCGAGGCGAAGTTAGCCCGTTCCGAGTTCAATCGCCTCGGTCAATATTGAAATTTTTCTCGTGAATATCAAACCATATTCTTCACCGAAAAAGTCCATAATTGTATATTATGTAATGTTATGAACCGTTTGCGTTTGTGTAGATTATAAGCCTACATGTATAAACAGACTACTCATATATTATGCCTCGATATGTCCTTTTTGTTAGATAAATTAAAATAATAAACACACAAATTTCACTGCTTCTAATCTAATTTTATTTAAATTCAAATTTAACTTGAGAGATACCAAACAACCGATATTAACAAATTGATTTGATAATGAAAAACGACAAGGATTAAGCTAAACTTAGATAGATTAAATTAGCATAATTCAAAAGGTTTTGATTATTAACAATCAGGGTTTTATCGAGCTTGTAGGCATTTTTCATTTAAGCAGTACTCTTTGAACCGTTTTTAGCGGTTTATAACACACAGGCCGTCTTTGCAGCAGTCGTCAGGACATCCGGAACAGTCGCTTCCTTCCGTGTACGGGTCCTGTCCTGCATAGTTTCCTCTGTATAAAAAAGGGAAATGTCAATAATCATATAGGGAGAGGTTTATTTTCATTCAAAATATGTAAAACTAATATTTAATTAACGCTTGGTGTTGCAGGTATATGTAGCATTAAATTTCATTTATTTTACCATTAGAGTCTCTTCAATTTTTTTAGCAGAAATTTTATTTTTTGCGTAATGTTCCACTTCAAATTTTGTGGCAGCGATGTATCAGAAATGACTAAGTCTGCAAATCCTCATGTTATCAAACAGACTGAGTGCCTTTCAAAAAATTTGCTAGTTTTAAATAATCACCCTTCCACTTTCAGGACTTATACATTTCTTTTTTCCCATTAATGTAAAATTACTATTTTTAAAAAGGACATGTATTTGCAGCTGCGGTTCTGAATGACAAACAGGGAAAAGGTAAAGGATGCAAATTATCACGGAAACATGCAGATCAATAACTTCTCTTTCTCCAAAATATTGGACAGTTATATCTTAAATAAATATTATATATGTATTTTGATTGACTCAAAAATATATTTAAAGACTTATAAAATGTGAGCCATCGAAGATATCGGGCTCCTTTACATGAATGGACCAACCTGTTACATCTGTCTTTCGAAACAATTACTCTTCTCTGCACCAGGAACTTATACGTCCATTTGAATAGCGCCAAGTAAAACAGTCTTTTCAGACTAATTATAAATCTTAAATGTTTCTTTCGCTGATGTCAATTTCGTGTCGTGATGAAATCGGTGCACGTGCACTTACCCTGGTCCGTAGTTGCAGACGTAGAATGTAACGTCGTTCCAGCCCGATAAACCGTTCATTGACGGGCAAAACTGAACACCGCAGCCCACATACTCTGAATCATGCCAGACAACCTGTCAATGTGCCAAAGAAAATATATTGTGAAATCTATATACGGATGTAATAACTATGTAATTTCCGAACATCAGTTCATGATTACGACAGACATAAACTGTTTTTATGGGCGGCAATTTTATAAAGTCAGCAATTGCTGATATAGAAAGGATCCACCCACCCCCCTTTTTGCCAAGGTCCCAGTAGCTACACATAATATATTGAAAGCGTATGTTTGATTTTTAAGGAATTAGAACTTAAAATAACTTTATAAACTTCTGTTTTAAATTTCAATTTTATTTATAAAGATAGGTAACGCATTTTGTTTTTCATAAAAAATCATATAATTTGGGGTATCCCTAACAACAATTTACTATAGTTAACTATAGTTTACAAAATAATTTACTATAGTAAACTAAAGTTCAATATATGTAATTATTATTTTGATTCTTTGAATAACTATGCAACTTTATTCAAGAATTGCTTGAAAATTTTGATCCTTAATATTTTGTAAGTTACATACCAATGATGAACTTTTGGGTAATTATAATAAAGTAGGCCATTTCAAGTTTTTCTTTGTGAATATATAAGTAATAATTCCTAATTCTGGTTGAATCTCAACCAAAAAAAAAAAAAAACAAACAAACAAACAAACAAACGAACAAACAAAACAACAACAATAACAAACCATACATACCAAAAAAAAATTAAATAGGTCGCACCTATTCCAGCGTTCTTTAGAGAAAATGTTAATAATAAATTCTCTATTTCCATCTACATTTAGAGATCTCCAAAAAAAGAGACCTGTGTCAGCCAGAATGGCTAGAGTTGGGAAACGAAATGATGCAAATGAAAGCAAAATGATATTACAAATTGTTCTGTTGTTAAGTCTTTGAGTAGGTGGCAACAAGCTTACGATCTGTTTAAAAACGGGAAGTAAACTGTATAGTTATATATATAAAGATTAAAGGGTTAAAGGTTACGTCATCTCGATGTTTGAAAAGTCCAACTATCTTTAAGACTGATTAGAAGAGGAGATTGAGTTACCTGTGTATAGTGTGAACAGATTCCTGAACTACAAGTCTGGGTATCAAAATCATACTTGCTATTCTCTAGCCACCAGTACTCCACTGAGCGATGGATCTTATTTGCCGTAGCTTATGGAATAATAAAAAGAATTTAACTGCTTGTGCATGGTGAATTAAATTTTCCATTCCGCTAACAAAATTTGAAAATATGTAATAAGTCCTGACAAAATTTCAAAATATGCAATATATATATATATATATATATATATATATATATATATATATATATATATATATATATATATATACGGAACACTCACAGTGTCCGGTTTTTATATAGGTGAAATTTAAATATATATATACATGTATATTAGAAAGAATTGTATTTAATAACCATAAATCGTGCGAATACAGTACTTAGTACGTTATACTTATACAGCATGTAAAACGATGCAATTTTCGATTTTTTTTTTTACCATTTAAATTGTATAAGTTTCCATTTGTATTTCATAATTTTCATTTGAATTCTAAAATTGAATTCAATACAAATGAAAAATTATACAGAATAAATGGAAAATTACAGAATACAGAAAGAATTAGGAAGTACTTGCGATACAATAGAAATGGAAAATTATACAATTCAAATGGGGAAAAAATGTAGAAAAATCGAACGATTGACATGCCATAGAACTAACATTTATAAAAGCAAAGAGGTATTTATTATAAATGGGATATTTACATGTAGTAAGGTACTTGTTCTCTCCGACGTAACCAAAGGAAGGACTATCAGACGATCGATCGGGGTTATGACTCCAGTTGCACGTTTCAGCCCAACTCGCAGCTACAGCTGCAAGTTCGTCACTCCATTTCTACAAGAGATAGTGCGCATGTGTTATATTTTATTAAATAATGATAAAAATTGATTATTTGTGCAATATGAAATTCACTTCCCTTAAAGCTTTTAAAAACACAGTTCTCATCTACACTTGGCGCATGGGACCATCCCCCTTAACTTTGATTTTCTTTTTCTTTTTAAATATGGGAAGAATACACTTTTATCCTCTATATATTATTCTAATATGCATCACATGCTTTCGATAATGTAATCCATTTGTCTCTATATATAAGCTGTTGTTAAATATCTCGTTTTCGACTGATACATAAAAAGAGAGATTTGCAACATTTTTCTCGTCGTCTGCCTCACGTGCACCTTGCTATCTTCGTATGATTTTTTTTTCATAAAAGCATGACAGAATATGGAATATGAATAGGTTTGTTGAAAAATAAATATGTTTCTCATGACCATAGTATTACTTATTTGGTTTGTCAATAACTACAGAAATATGTCGGGCTGTTCATGTCCATCAGTGGCGTATATTCCTTACTACTCAAGTGTACGTAAATGTGAAGTGGAAGAGTTCACTTTAAGTGCTGGGTACCAAACTAAGGGTAGATAGGAGAGGGGGGGGGGGCGATGAGGGGTTTGTTACAGTATATGTATGTTCTTGTCTTAGTGCCAGAAGAAAAAAAAAATACTTGGGTTGCCAACATCGATATTTTCTGCTTGAAACTTTGAAAACATCTGTGATTGTCAGTTGTCCGGTATCTACCTTTATGATTATATGCACTTTTTGTATAAAATTTATATTGCCTCGACCACTTAACAACATAAAAAAAAAATAAAACTTTTTCTAGTGCCAATAGTAAATCTCTGCATTTTCATTCTTGAATAGTCATTTTAATCATTCCGAACTCGAATATTTTTTTATCCTAAAATACATGTAAGTAATTTGTGAAGTTTGTTATTCTTTCCCTCTTTTTCTCAATCTGAAATATTATACAATTATTGCTGTTTTTTGTAGGTTAATACGATGATTTAGCAACCTAACATGTATACATGTAGTATTCGTCTTCGGGCTCGGTGAATATTGTACTCCTCAGGTGGCTAAATCATCGTATTGACCTCAACAGTAATAATTCTTGTATTAAATGAATAAAAGAGGAGAATTATCTAAATTCCAATTCTATTTGGGGTGATGTAAGGATCCGTTAAACTTTATGTCCAGATAAAAGTGTGGAGAGGGGCAGGCCCCCTGCATCCCCACCCCCATCCCCTGATTCTATGTGTCTGACTGTTATGTTCACCCGAGTAAAGGTTGGATGCTAGTGAAATAACTTTTCAGAACTATTTGTATCAATTTAGAATTTCCCGATCTCTTTTTAGTCCAATGTAGAAAAAATAAACTCTTATGTTCACCTAGATGGTCTGACATGTGCATCAGGCACGTGGCATCAGGAAAGGGGGGTAGGCCTCCGCCCCCCCCCCTTTTCCAAACTTAACCTTTTACTTTTGAAAATGTTCATGAAAGGCATGTCCCCCACCCCCAGTTTTTGTTGCAGTATAGTCATATAAGGGTAATGCAGTAGAATTTAGTGTATGAATAATTAAATTTGATACTGAAAGAAATTTGAACCTACCTACAACTCCCCCCCCCCCTCCCCCCCCCTCCCCAATGAAATAGGATTTCCGAGTTTGGAAAATTTTCCTTTTTTTTTTTTGGCTTGTCAAGTTTTTCCAGGTATGTTAATTTTTTTCTCTCTGGCTCCCCCCCCCCTCCCCTTTCAAAAACGATATCACTACGACCCCATTACATTTATTAACTAGGTTCGAGGGCAACATGCGTTTTGTAGGATCCAAGAATTAAACTGTCTGTTTGAGACCGTGAAGCAAAAAAAGTTTTTTCTTTCATTCTTCCACACTACTTTAAATTGCAACTTATTTGTAAATACATGTATTTTAAATAACGGTAGTTATTGTTCCGAATGACATAACGCACATGATGACCAGAAAAATACGAGGAAGAAAAAAAAAATTCCAAGTTTGTTCTCGATATAGAATCGGTATGCTACATGTATGTATATACCTTTATGTGATTGTGAGGATGAAAATTCAGCCTTTAATATATACGACTTTGCAACCAAATATTCTGAAATGCGCATCACTTAGCAGCGAAAACTTTTTTTCAAGAATTGAAAAAGCAGGAGTTACTGTTCTTGCACTTCCGGGCCAGTTTTCAAAGAGAGATAGATGGTAAGGTCAATATTACTTTTAGGCCAAGGGGAGGAGGGGGGGGGGCTATATTGGAAAATTTACCATATATCTGATGTTTCCTGCAGTGGGCGTGGTCTGCCTTCGGAACTCATTGTGGGCGTCCACATACTCCTGTATCTCTGACGCGTCAAGAGCTGCTGTCGACCTTTTCTTGAACTCTCGCTTGTCTTCCGAAGGATGAATTTCTTCATCGGTCATCTCTCCGCCATTTGACCTTCTTACTTCCTGTAAAAAAGAACAGATTCTTTATATATTTTTTATTATCTGATTTTTTTTCTGTAAAAAAAAAAGTAAATTTAGTCTAACATGAAACTACAAGGATAAACTTTTATGCCCTTGGATATAAGACGAGGGTCTTTCAAAAGGGAAAAAAATATAGTGTAATTATTAAATGTTGGTGTCTACTGCATGAAATTAGGCCAAAATCTTTTGAATATGTTTTGAATTGTTTTATTAACCTATGAATTGTGTTCTTATGTTAAATATGCTTAGTGAAGATTTTGATTTTATTTGGAAATTTAGTGAGGTGGTAAAAAAAAAAAAAGCAAAATATAATAAAAGATTACATTAAAACTGATATTTTCATATTTATTGTTTCACAAAGTTGCCCAGATAAATTACCAATTCAAAAGTGTTATTTTTACAGACTTAATGTTGCTGGGAAGTATACTATGTAACTCTCTAAGACTGGTATACATAATAAATAATATTCTAAAAGGCTCATCCGGGCGCTTTCATCGACCTCGGATATTAATTTTTGGAGACAGCTGAGGATAGGTACATGAATCATATATTATTATAACTTATATTTGACTTTTTTTTGGGGGGGGGGGGTAGTTTTGAATTCTTAAATTAGGTGCTTTCATTTTGAATATACATTGTAAGCATATGATCGATAAGCAAAATTGCATATTACATGTAGATAAAAACAAAAACAAAAACAAAAAAACAAAAAAAACAAAAAAAAAAAACAAAAACAAAACAAAACAAAAAACATCGATTTCAAACATAAAGTATCTGAAGTAAAATTTAATACATAACAGTATTTGATAAATGATAAATTTTTTAAGAAATTAATAGGAAAGTCGGGTATGGGGTACATGTTTTTCTTTTTTTTTTTAAATGGATTGATATAATCATAACAAAATCGGAAGCTTTCATTTTGAAGATAAGCATATATAATAAACAAACTTGCACATATCAGTTCAGAAAAACTAAGTATAATACACATAAACACGAAAGAAGATAAATAAATACATTGCAAATTTCATAAATTGTTAAATTTTCAACAAATTCTGATGTAGACCCTATAAATTTTTAATTATTATATATTTTTTTTTATTTTTTTTACTTTTTTTTTTTTGGTAAGGTGTAAAGTAAGGGGTCGAATTCCCCCATTACAATTTTGCAACTAAGATAGAGAGAGAGAGAGAGAGCTGCCCTGTCATCTAACAAAATTCTTTCCAATCAAAATGAAATGGCACATTTTAACCAGAATTGAATAATGACTGATTGATTGTTTATTGTTTAACGCCGAGTTGTTTCAATCTTGCATGCCAATCTTGCAGTTTAAGGGCTCGAGAATTAAAAGAAACAGGTCAGGTCTTTCAGAACTTTTACCAGAGACACATTTAAGCCTATTCAGACCATGGTCGGGCGACCAAATTTTTCTCGTATCGTCGCAGTCTCTCACCAGAGGGCGTATTACGCTGCGCTGCAACACATGAAGTGTAGCGGGAACGATAACTCGGGGTAGAGATTGGTATCATCGGCTAAGAAAACCTGATCTGTCGACACTAGTATCAGGCGCGACGCGGAGCAGTCACATTATTCCTACGAACACCGATGACTTTGAAAGTTTAAATATTTGTAAGTCGGCAAATCGTCGCCCGATCATCGAGCTATCATGTTGTAAATTTTGCATTTACCTCCCCATAATAAATTCAAAATTTACAACATGATAGAGTACTGAACAGCAGTTTCACTTTTACTGTAGGCCCTGCGAAAACCCAATACCTAAATGTCGACTGACCGACGAGATAAACTGTCTGCCGGTGGTCGGACAGTGTGTTTTCGTTTTGCCGGCATATATCATAGTTGTGAATCTGGAGAAAAAGAATCTATGGCAAAAATATGAAGAAAAAAATGATTAATTATGTCACCTCGGCACCGACGCAGAAAAAATATAAACTGGCCCGACGGACATAAAGTTGGTCGGCCGATAAAAAAAGGTCAAAATTGGGCAAGACAACGGCCGATGAACTGCCGACTGTCACCCAAAGAATCCCATTTTTGCCTCAGAAACTGTCGGTCGTTGGTCGTTTTTGGAAATGTGACTGGGTTTTTTTCTAGAGCAACAACAAGTATAGTGAAAAAATGAAGGAGAAATATACCGATGGAATATTGTTGAACTCTAGTATTTTACACGAATAAATCGTTTTCCTTTTTCCTCTCCCAACAATTATTAATTTAAATTCTTAATTCTAGGTAATCTATTCAGTTTAATCTTACCCCTTTCTCGACCAAATTGTTCAGCATGTCTCTAAACACCATCTCCCTTTCTTCAGGTTTGGCGCACACCAAGTGCAAGCAAAACACGGCAACCAGTAGCAACTTGAGCATTTTGAACGTTTGTAAATTCAAGTATTTTCTGCAAACATACTCGAAGAATGTATCGTAGACTGCTTTTATAATAGTTGAAAATAGCCGAAAGGGTAGGGTGTTAATTCTCACGCTTAGGTAAGGCGGGGGATTTGATGTTCGTGATAGATACGAAGATGGCCGACGATTTTAGAGATTTTGTCGGGTCATTGGATTTTATTTCGCCTTGAAAAAGAAGTTGTACTTTCCATATGGAAATTAAAATACTTGGATATGGAATTTGCTTTTACTGGGTACTTGCTTGCTTGAGGCTTATCTGCATTTTGTAGTCATTAAAGATCGTAAGAGAAAAACACGGGGAAAGTGCTCATGGTTTGACTAAAATGAAATACCTGGATACTGAAAGATTCATATCCTGAATTATATTTATTGAACTGATGTAAAATTATTAATCGATGCTTTGATTAATTCCTTTTTTAAAAAAAATTATTTATTGATTTAATTTTTTGAAATTCAAATTAAGATTTGACCATTCTCTTTACATAAAATGTTTAAACTATTTTGATGAACTTTGAAGAAATAATATTGAGTACATGTATAAAAACTTTGCTTTGAAAATTTAGTGAAAATTTTGGGAAAATTGTACTTAACTGCTGATTTTCTGAACCTAAGGAAAGGACTGTCTTGAAGTTTTGCCAAAGAAAAAAAAAATATAAATTGATTTACAAAGTAGGCAAGATATCAAGAGCCTTTAAAGAATTTGGATCATTACCTGACCCCCCCCCCCCTTCTTCCACCCCTTTTTTGAATTACATATTATTTCCAGGGAAAAATTCACCAACTACTAATGGGCATAGCAATTGTTTAATTAGTCACAATAACTTTAAAATCAAAATATCTTCGGGTTATTTCCCTCAGCATGTAACTTGTAGTAGTAAATTTTTGAATTAAGGAAACTCTACACACTAAGTATATTTTTTTTCTGTAAAATAAGAAAAATATCGCATACAGACATTGTATACAGAGTCGTAAATATTTAGTTTATTCTTCATTTTTATTAAATTACCCTTTCGACCCCCCCCCCCCCTCCCCTTTCCCCGATCTGTTACAGGAAGTTAAACTGAAGAAGACGTCCTGGCGAACAGCGAACACTGTTCCATACTGAAATTGGGAAAAAGCAAGCGAACAAAAATTTATCTAATTGATCTTATTCTTTTAAAATCTAAGGATGCTTGATCTGCAATTGATTACATGTACCAATATAGAGTGAAACACTGTACTAGATTTATTTTATACAAAATCAAAGGGCAGATCACTCTAAATACAATGTACATACTAAATCCATGGCATTTTAGAATCCTTTCATATGGAATTTTGTAAAAAAAAATTTGAAAGTTAAAAAAACTACTCCTCATTGTATTGTTTATGGAGAGCTGGGTAGAATACCACTTAGTATATTAGTAAAGTCTAGAATGGCTGGTTTCTGGCAAAGGATTTTGTGTGGTAAAAATGAGAAAATTTCCTTCACATTGTACTCAATTTTGTATCAATTTAGCTCAAAAGGTTTTTACCATTCAAAATGGCTCATGGAAATTAAGAATATTTTACATGATTGTAATTTGGATCTAATGTGGAATGCTCAGTATGTTGATAAATCATGCAAAATTGGTGTGTTGGTTAAGAATACATTAAGAAATAGTTTTATCCAAGACTGGAATGTAAATGTATTAAATTCTCCAAAATGCCTTAATTATAGAATGTACAAGTGTGATTTTGGTTTTGAAAGTTATCTAAACATGTTACCAAATGATCTTAGATTATATTTATGTAAATTTCGTTGTGTCAGTCATAATTTGCCAATTGAAGCTGGTAGATTTTATAGTATTGATAGATCTGAGAGACATTGTAACCTCTGCAATAACAATGAACTTGGTGATGAGTTTCATTATTTATTTAAGTGTCCTTTTTTTAAGAATGAAAGACAGAAATTTATACCTAGCAATATTTACACAAATCCAAACACAATATCTTTTTATAATTTGATGAATACTTCTGATATATATAAACTAATAGGTTTAGCTAAGTTTTGTAAAACTGTTCTTAAATTATTTCATGCCTGAACTTCCTACAATGTAAACATTAAACGATTTTTTTTTTACACAACCGTCAGTACTGTCCATATCAAAGTTCTTTTTGTGGTTCATTATGTTAACTGTTCACATGTTGATTTGTTCAATTGTTAAACTCTTATTGTACTAACATACCCCATGTGGGGGCTTTAGTGAAAATAAAAGTTTCAAAGTTTCAAAGGAAATATTTAGAACTTATTACTGTGCAGTAATATAGTGTATAGAGAATTCTTAATTCTCTAACGATAATTGTTAAATAAATTCTAATTTTACATTATTTAATTGTTATATAAATTCTTATTTTACACAAGACAGATACTTCATACATCTTAAGGTTTATCAGCATATAGACTTAAATAAACAAAATAAAACAAATGGCCATGGATTCGTTTGAAAAGCCATTTACTAGATAGAATGTTTACATTTATTTTTATTTTAACATGTACATATAATCATTGCTTGCGGGATTGCTCTAGATCAAAACTTTAGCATTAAAAGGTCACGGTCATTTCATCTGACTCGGGGGTGATCTATCTGATCAATTGACCATATATGTTTGGTACTCTTAGACTATTTCAGGGTCACATTTTTTTCTAAATATTTACCGTTGTTCATTTATGATTACCCGTTAAAACTTGCAAATGTCGTATAATATATAATATAGTGTTAAGACTCATTATTAATTAAAGTCTTTCTTTATAAAGTAGATGCCTAGACTAGACAGCATACGGAGTATTTTTGTGTGTATTTATTAAAGACTACTGTTTAGTATTCTTGAAAAAAAAAATTTTACCGGTTAACAGCGAACTGAAGGTGAAAAAAAGTAGCAAATGCAGGATAATTTTTCAATTTTAAAAAGCATTTTTTTTTACTTCAAAAACATATATATGGCGAGAAATCGTATATTATCCTGAGGCTTGGGCAGTAATAAAAAGATCATACTCATATTCAAGAGTATTTTGTGTTACTATTAATTGATATTTCTATTCAAATTTAGAAGCATAGATATGCTGCTGCCACAACCTAACCAAAGTGTAAAACCTATGTACATATTATACAAAAGTGTGGAATTTCATTTGCATACTAAACAGCATTGTGTACCAAAAATGAGAAAAACACGCCTGAAAGAAACCAGGGGGAATGGGTTCCCCGGATTATAATTTATCAGTATAATTTACTACCTTAGAAAACAAAGCTATAATTTCCATTTGTGTTCCCTAAGTATAATTTTGCCAGTTTACAACTATAACAAAATGAGAAAAAAAAGTTTTTGCTTTGCTTTGTTTCTGCTTGTCAAGAATGCATGTTTTGTTTTCTTTTGCTTGTCAAGAATCCCCCCTCCCCCAACTGAAATTGTTTCTTACGTGCCTCAAATATATATATAAATATATATATATTATGTTAACATGTACCGTTATTGAAGGGAAGTAACCAGCAATATAATTGTTTAGTGGTACTTGGCAACAGAAAGAGTTCAGTATCCACCACTTCCTACAGAGATTTTTCGGTATCTGTGTGTATTTTATTTGCATGTTTATCGATTTTTAGAGGGGGGGAATATAGTCTGTTGATTTTTAATTCTATAAAAGAGTTGTTACAAAAAAGAGTTTTAAACAAAAATTTTACATGCTTTTACTCAGTTCATACTCTGAAAGGAGTAATACTGCAACATTATGAATCCTTCGATCAGTTAATCAAAGACAAATTAACACAACCTCTATGGGAAAAGATGATAAATTATCATAAATATAAAATTGATATCATTTAGACTCTAAATTGTGTTGTATCGTAAATTTACTGAGATTATACTAGCAATACATGGCTTAAATGGGTAAAAACAACTCTCTCTCTCTCTCTCTCTCTCTATATATATAACTTTGATGAGGTCGTAGAAATAAAATCAAAAAGCGGGGGGACCAACCAGCATCTAATGGAAAATTTACTATAGCAAATACCATAGAAAAAAGTGCGGGGGGGGGGGGGAGGGGCTGCCCCCCGCCCTCTTCGCTTTCTACGGGCCTGTTTAATCGACCAATCAAACCACAATTGTACAGTTTTATTAGTTTTAACGAACACAATTTTTATTTTTAACATTAATATGCAGCTTTTATATTCATTTATTCATATATATAGACATTCGTAGCAGAATTTCTGAATAGACAAAGATTTGACTCCAAGGGATATTGGTGCAGGGGAGAAAGGAATTGTTTTAATGCTGCATTTTTGCACAAATCGTCTCATGCCACGGTTCACACTTTAGCTCTCTCCAGAATGTGAGAGGATCGTACATTTTGGTCATCGTTTCTACATTGTTTCTACATTTCACGGAAAACTCCTTAGATTAGGCGAAATCGGATGTTAATTTTAAAAAGTGTAGTTGTGACAATCCTTCATATGTCATTTCGGTTAAATATAAAAAATTATGTCACACCAAGAGGAGGGGTGCACGAAACGCGTGCTTTATAGAGAAAGTAGCAAAAATCACCCCCCCCCCACCCACATGACTGGTCTCTAAATGTTACGTTTGAACAACTTAATCCTCGACGGAAATCTTAATTCTGATAATTATATATTGATAAAAAATATGGACCCCAACCACACTGCAAATTCTATATTCAATCCTGGTAATGCATTTTTATTTCTTAAACAAATAGGTCAGGTTTTATTTGTGTCTTAAATTTAGCAAAATTGTCATCTATAATCAAGGAGGAATAAACACATTCTCAATTTTTTTCAAATAATTAATCCTTTTATTCCTAAAAAAGGTGCACTTATTTTTCATGGAGAATATAATGATTTGCTATCATGCAGTCAAAAACTTTTCTTCGTATGCAAGTCCTGTAACTTGATAAAAGTTGGTGGATGCTGGGATTGCTTTAATAAGGAAACTGT